CAGGCAGGCCCAGACGACGGGCGGCGACGAGGCGGCGACGGGGCGGCGACAGCGACAACATAGCCGCCAGACTGGCAGACAGGCCCAGTTCCTTAGGGGGGAAGCAAGAGCCCCCAAGTGCAAGCACTGGTTGGGGATTCACCTCCCCGTGCCGCACTGGGCCAGGAGCTTCGCCTGAGACTTCCTCACCGCTTCTGACCCGGAAGCTGGAACTTAGCAACAGTTTCAAGGATGAACGGCGGGTGGTTTCAACATGCGGTTATCGCCGTAGCGCTGCGCACATTCGCCTCAAGAATCTGCAGCAGCGTAAAGGATGGAGGGCGGCGGGCCGTTTTGAGGATGTGCCTCTCGCCCGAACGCGGCGCGAATCAGTTTCAAGACTCTGCTGCACCTTCATGGATGGAGGGCGGTTCCTTGTCAGAACGTGGCCCTCGCCTCAGCACCAAGCGCATTCGTCTTTCCAACGTTTGCACTCGTTCTAAAGACGTTCTGGCACGATTTAGGCACGTCAGGGCGCAGCCGTCACGTTGATTCGCGGAGTTGGAGTCTCTTGAACGGCGTTCTGGCTCGATCTGTTACTGCGAAGACGCAACAATCACGTCGATTCGCCACGTTGAAGTCCCTGGACTGGTGTTCTGGCACGGCGGAAGATCCTCCGTCGGCCGTCTTTCAACGGAACACATCCCGCAATGGAAACGAAGTCCTGCCCGGGCCTATGGAGAGGGGGCTCGGAGGGATTGTCTGTTGCAACAGGGTTAACGAGGATTGGGCCTACAGTCGAGGCGTTGACCTAAGGAACCCTAAATAAGGAACGGGGCCCCTTTCTCCCATAAGTTGAACTTCGATTTCCCATGGCAAACCTCCAGGAACACAGAAGGCAAACTGTAGCACAATCAAGGGACACCGAGCCCCTTCCCAACGAAAAGGGTCCCTTCTTCAGGGCCCCGGCCGTACGCCCTGCCCTCCCCCTCCACCCCGTCCACCCGGCCAGCCTCCGTCCGCGGACGGAAACGCACCACTCTGCCCGAGGACTGAGGGCACGGGGCCCAGGGCACTGCGGCCGGGCACGGGGGCGGAGCGACGCCCCTTTGCTCACCAGCCTGGAACGCATCCCAATCCCTATGCTGGGCAAGCACTGTCCATGCGGGCCAAACTGGCCCCCTGGGCCCCCCAAACTACAACAACAACGGCTCCCGCTTGAAACGTCCTCACAGTTTGTTTCGAAATCGTGCTCTCGCGCGGGACATCCACACAGTGTATGCAGGACTCGCGCTCTTGCGTGGGACCTCCTCGCATTTTATTCAAATGCCGCGCCCTCGACACTCAGGAAGCACGCTCTCGCTCCGGCTTGTCTCGCGATGTGCTTAGGGAACGCGCCATCGCTCGAGACTTGCTCGCGATCCATATCCCTATCCCTATCCCTATCCAGGGATAGGGATACGCTCGAGGCTGGTAATTTGCGAGCCCCCCATGGATCCGAATCGATCTGCAGTGCACTCCGGAAGAGGACAGGGCACCCTCTGGCACAGCGCCCTGCAGCGCCGACGACCCAGGACGAGAGACCTGGTGAGCGCAGGCCCGCACAGAACAGCGACCGCCACGCCCCCTCGAGGCCCTCGAGAGCGGGAGAGCGGCAATTCGATACAGTCGGGGCGTTGACCTAAGGAACCCTAAATAAGGAACGAGGCCCCTTTTTCCAGTAAGTTAAACTTCGACTTCCGATCGAAAACATAAGGAAAACCTGAGGCAAGCTGCGAAACACTTAAGGAACGCGGAGCCCCTCCCCAAAGAAAAGGGTTCCTTCTTCAGGGCCCCGACTGTAATCGGCATGGCAGGGTGGGGGTTCGACGGTCGGGGAGTTTTGCTCAGCGTGCCGCAACGGAGGCTCCGGCGACACGCCCTGCCCCGCGAGCTGTTCCAAGGAGTAGCGTGTCGCCCTGCCTCGCAGGACGGGAGCCTGGGACGGGCCGAGACGTGGACGCCGGGGACCGCGACGTTGGCGCGATTGGTCGCAACGACGTGGTTGGCAGACGCACCTGGCCGCATCGGCCTCCGAAATGCCCTGGCGGGGCGGCGGCCCGCAGTCGACGTCTAGCAGGGCGGGACCACGCCGTGCAGACGCCAGCTCCGCACGGCTTGGGTCGGGGGCGTCCAAGAGGGGGGCGTCCAAGAGGGGGGGGGCGCAAATCATGGCTGGCGGCATGTGCGCGGCCCAGGGGGGAACCGGGGAGGTGTTGAAATAAGGCGCAATGAAATCTGGGGAGATATCCTGGCCCCCGCCATGATATCCACTCCCCCAAGTCATCACCCCCCTCTTTGCCGCCCCCGATTGGGGGGCTGCAGGCGACCCTGCGGGGCACTGCAGGCGCGTCGAGATGCGAGGCTCGAGCTCTTCTCTGCGCTCGTGGTTCTCTCCGGGCCTCTCCTGCACTCCTCGAGGTCCGATGCTTCGATTCTCCCCAAACCGGAACCCAATCTTCTTCCTCCTCTTCCTCCTCCTCCTTCTCCTCCTCCTTCTCCTCCACCACCTCCTCCTCCTCCCCTTCCTCCTCTGGGTGAGCGGAGTGGGAACCCCGAAGGGCAGGCACCGATCGAGGAAGAGAGCACGACGCCACTTCTCAGCCTCCGCCCAGAGCAACCAGGAGCTCGAGACAAGAAGTGGGTGCTCCATGACAGTCTCTGCCCAGACCGCCGTGCGGAACGAATACTCGTGCAACTCCCACAAATCATCAAACATCTGACGAGGACAGCTCCCCAGCACGGTCTGCCACAGCTCGAGCTCTAAAGCGTGACATATCAAATCGAACACTGGATCACTATGGAGCAACATTTTCCTCTGTGGTACTCTGCGCCCCTCAATAATTCTGGGGGTACCTGTAGTCCTGGGAGGGTACCTGTAGTCTGGGGGAGGGGTACCTGCAGTCCGGGGGGTACCAATAATGTGGGGCGGGGTACCTGTAGTCCGGGGGAAGAGTAACTGTAGTCCGAGGGGATACCTGCAGTCTGGGGGGTAACGCGTGTCCACGTGTCAACGCACGCATGGATGTAGTCCTGTGAGGGTACCTGTAGTCTGGGGGGGGTATACCTGTAGTCCGGGGGGGTACCTGTAGTCCGTCCGGGGGAGGGGTACTTGTAGTTCGGGGAGGGGGTACCTGTAGTCCGGTGGGTACCTGCAGTCCGGGGGCCCAGAACTATTGAGGGACACAGAGTAGGCTCTGCCAATCTGCGGTTTTGGCTTGGATTACGTAGCAATCTCCACAAACCGTCCCGGTCCGAATCGCGGCCTGGCGACCTGCATTACTTGACGTGCCCACGGACACACTTCAGCTAAAAGCACGCCATGGACAACCGCTCTGCACACTTGGCGTGGACACCTGCACTCTGCACCACAGCTCTGCACTCCTCAACGGTGGCGCTTCTCTACACAGGCGGCAAGACCCGGAGCAGAGGCCCAAGCCAGCGTGTTCGCCCAGGCTGATTCCGCGCAACCGCTCTCGTCTTCCCCCCCCCCTCTGGCACGCCGGCCAATCAGCCCTTTGGTTGCCCCGAATAGCCACACGTTGGAGCGGACTGCCTCTGCCTCGCCGCCGACGAAACAAAAGCTCGCGCAGGCTGTGCGATACCCCTCATGATGGGCCTGTTTTCCACTGCCGCCACCATAAGTTGGAGGGGGAGGGGGTCCTCCTCCTCCTCCTCCTCCTCCTCCTCCTCCTCCTCCTACTCCTACTCCTACTCCTACTCCTACTCCTCCACCTCCTCTTCGTCCTCCTCCTCGTCCTCCTCCTTCCCCCCGTCCAGCTTATGGTGGTGGTGGTGGTGGTGGAAAACAGGCCCACCACCTCATCCCCCTCCTCTGGATCTGACTCGCGCGGCGGGAAGAGATCCCCAGGCCGTACATCATTCTCTGTTGAATGAGAAGCTATAGACCCCACTGGATCCCGCTGCGTGTCTACAAGAGTCTCGCGGATCCCACACATCGATCTTCCAGGTCACATTATTTGGTGCGGAACCTTCGTGAATCACATGTGTCCTTGGACGGATGCATCATAGTTCCTGCGATCGTGGCCCGCAGGAAACGGGATCCACGGAGTCGTGAACCTGCAAACCTATGCTGTGACTCTACGGGGGAATGCTTCCCCTGTCGGTTGGGCGGTTGGTCGATCGTCGTCGAGGTCGGTCGGTCGATCGGTCGGTCGATCGATCGGCCGGCCGACCGATCGGTCGGTCGGTCGGCGCGACGGTCGGTCGGTCGTTGTCGTCGTCGGTCAGTCGGTCGGTCCGTCGTCGTCGTGGTCGTCGTCGTCGCTGTCACCTGTGGCCCAAGTGAAACCCTATCGGCCTACGCAAAGACTCGAGCTGCAGTAAGACTGGAAAACATGATATGGCGGCGCATTCTCATCTGGTGCTCCAGCCTTTTCCCTTGCTCGTTTCACGGGCTTCTGCAGGAAGGCAGCACGCAACACAATTTTGGAATGGCGTCCTTCACTTGGGAACTATTCGGTTTAACAGGACATCACTCGAAAAAGAAAAAATACCATAAACATAAGCTTTTGGCGGTCCGCGCGGATGTCTTGGATCTGCGCCAGACCCCCCTCCCTGGCGCGCGGAGCGCGCCAGGGGCGGCTCCAGAGGCGCCGCCAGGGGGGGGCCCTGGCGCGGATCCGAGAAATCCGCGCGGACCGCAAACAATTTATGTTTACGCCGTCTTTTCTTCTTCGAATCACGTGCTGACATACAAGAGTGATGCGTGTCGTTCTCCTGACCGCAAGGGGTCAGGAGGCAACTACTGGGAGGTCTTCGTCGGAAGGATTAGGGAGGATTAAGCCCAATTGGGGGTCTGCTACGCCAAATTAGGCCGCGGATTAAACGGGATCAGCCCGGATTAAGCGGGATCAAGCCGGATTAAACGGGATTCAACTGGATCCAACAAGATTTCGGACCAGGGTAAAGTCAGCATCAAACCTCCCAGGAGCTGCATCCGAAAAAGGGGGGGGGGGCACCCAGTCTCGGTCGTACCACTCGGCGAGGCTGCTGCGGCTGTTGCGGCCCGTCGTGCAGCTCGGTGTGTCCGCCCCGCCGGCCGGGGCGCCCGACGGGGCGCTGTTGGACAGCCTGGCGGAGAGGCGGGGTGCTCATCCCACAGCTCCCGGTCACAAGCGAGCAGCAGAACGCCAATCCTTCTCCTCCTCCTCCTCCTCCTCCTCCTCCTCCTCCTCCTCCTCCTCTTCCGGCAGCGGCCGCTACCGTCTGGACTTCACAATTTGTCACCAGAACCCTGTGCCCTTGAACGCATCTCTCTCTCTCTCTCTCTCTCTCTATATATATATATATATATATGCACGCTTGATCGTGAACGGGCATTGACATGCCTGTGAGGACATAGGTGTACCTACATGCACTCGTGCACGACTAGGTACTAGGTATATGCGCGAGCGCAGGCAGATTCACGCTGGTAAATACGAGTGCGCCTTCCTGTCTAGAAAGACTTATACACATATGCGTATGTAGCATGTGCATACCGAATCACACGTCTTGCTGTGCAGATTGCATATGCGTGTGCGCCTGAAATTAGATTTGTTTGCGCAGATGTGCATATACAGACGTGCTTGAACGCGTTCGGAAGAGCACTGCATACAACTTGTGTTTGCGCATCCCGCTAGCCTCGGGCTGGCTGTTACTGAAGCGTCGCGGCGGACAAACAGCAGCAGGCGCACGTTGTCAGGAAGTGTTGCTGCAGGCGGAGACGCAGCAGGTCGTCCCCGAGGCGATCTCCAAGTACGCAGCCCGAGAGAACCGCCCCAAGAAGTCCTCAGAACCGCCGCGTGGTTCCACCGAGCGGCTCGGGGGTAGCCCAGCGGAGCCGTCCAAGACCGCCCCGAACCCCCCGACGAAACCCATCGAGCCGCCAAGCCCCTAAGACGCCCCCAAGAGAGCTCCAAGAGGCTCCCAGGATACCTCAGCGTGGCCGCCAAGTTACGCCTTCCAGGGCGAGGAGGGAGAAAGAAGGGCAGGATAATGAGGAGGGGCGAAGAAGAAGAAGAAGAAAAAGAAGAAGAAGAAGAAGAAGAAGAAGAAGAAGTACGATGGAAGAACAGAACGAGGCTGCGCACAAGGAGGGGGCGCCAGACTGAGCAATGAACTGAAGGTATCAACCTCTTTCCTGCCCGGCTGGCACGGTGGTGGCGTTTGCCAGAGGCAGCTGAAGACAAGCAAAGCCAAGGACACGTGCACATCTGGCACTTGATGGGGCAAACACCTCAGAATGGGCGTCGAATGTACTGCTCGCGACGCAGAGCCCGCCCAACAAATTCCCGAACTTCGCGTGAACGAATATGTGAGGCTCCCGTGCTCAGCCGGGAGTGCCCGTGATACTTACGACAGTGCTGCTCATCGTCGTCCTCGTCATGCGCCGCCTTTCTTTCTTCCTCCTTCTCAATCTCCTCCTTCCTCGTTCTCCTCCTCCTCCTTCTCATCATCTTTCCCCTTCTCATCCCCATTGCAGCACCTCTCATCCTCACCATTCCTGTCATCTTCTCCCTCTCCATTCCCCATTATCCTAATCATCCTGCTTCGTCTGATCCCCTTGCGTCTCCAGCCCCCTGCCTGCCTCCCTACCCGCTCTCCTTCCTCATCGTCTTGACGGCCGCCCTCCAAGCTGCAAGCAAGCTGTGTCATCGCTCCCCTGAAGCAGGCGCAGTCAGCGGTCTAGATCCTGACTGACTGGCGAAGACAAGGCCTCACCAGTAACTCTGAGTCCATCAATGACTCTAGGGGGATCGGTAGTCCAGGGGGGCATCTGTAAGTCCAAGTCCCCTGACGCCTCCGTAGCTTCGGGTCTCGGGCCCCAGACCTCTCGACTTGCTCCCTCGGCTTTCATCCTGAGCCGTTTTTGACGGTCACGGGGCCCTACGGGCGAAACATCTGCCAGACAAGAAAAACAAAACTCCGCGGGGCCTCCGGGCGAGCAGCAAACAAGCTCTGCCTCGATATGCTCCACACTTCCGAACTTCTGACGGCTTGGGGTCCAGGGAGAATCACGTGGGAGACTCTGCCTTGTTAGCTGGTCTTATTACTGTTTCTGGCGGCGGTCGTCGCCCAGAGGGGGGGAGAGGGTTGGGCCCCCCGGAATAAAGGATTGCAAACAAAAAACGAAGGATTGCAAAAAAAACGAAGGATTGCAATCCTTCATTTTTTTTTTTGCAATCCTTCGTTCAAGAAAAGGTGTGTTTTTTTTTGCAATCGCAACGCCTGGGCGGGGTGGGGCACGTCTTGGCGGGGGCGCGCTGCGATCGCCTCAGCTTGCGCGCAAACGCCAGCACGTGGGGGGTCCGGCCCCGCCCCCACCCTAGGGTCACGTCGGGCAGATCCTCCTGCAGGCGGATTCTGGCTGGAAGCAAAAATCCCTCCAAAAGCTCAACACCAGTCAAACATAGTAAAACAATCGCCCACCCATGTTTTGACTATTTGGGAATTTTCCTCCAGTAGAGGGACGTGCCCGACTTAAGTCTAGCACCCCAAGGGCGACGATATCTATATATATATATATATACAAGACTGCAGGGGCGCTTCGCGCCATGCACCTTGGTCCCTGAAGTTTGGTATGCCTGCGGAAATGGCAGGAAGGTCAAGCCGACAATTTAGCGATGACTCCTTGCTGCCTTTTCCAGCATCGCCGCTATAATAATGTTCTTCGTTATCCTTCCTCCATGCTTCTTTTCCTTATTTTCGCCATACCCTGCGCATTCTCCCCATCCTCCTCAGCTCTTTTTTGCGGAGGCTCCTCCTTGGAGAGCCTCTGGGGGTCTCACCAAAGTTCTCAAGCTTTCTTAAAGCCTTCTGGAGGCCTCCTGGGTGTGTTCTGGGGGCCTCTGGGGCTTCCTAAGGCCAACCTGCCTCTAACCGCGGTCTCCCTGAACGCCCCAGTCACGATTTGGAATGCTTCGGAGGGTGTCTTGGGGCCATCTTGGGCCGCCACGGTGCTCTCTTAGGGCCATTTTGGACCCCTGTTGTGCCGTCTTGGGGCTCTCTTGGACTGCCTGGAAGCCCTTTCGGATGTTTGTGGGGCAATTTTGGAGCCTCCCAGGCGGCTTCGGACGCCTAGGAGACCGCCGTGTTGGAGCGTCGGGAAGCCGAAAAGAGGAGAACCCCAAATGCACCAAAAACCAACATATGATCAGCGATTTTGTTCCCTCTTGGGGCCTTCTTGGGGGTGCTCTTGGAGGCCTCTTGGTACGTTTTGGAGCGATCGTTCGGGGTATGACGGCTTCTTGGAGCGCTCTTGTGTTGTCTTGGGGGTCTTTGGGACGTCTCCAGTGACCCCCTGATCGCCCTGGGTGTGCTGCGAAGGCTTGGCAAAACGCCCTGCGAGGCCCAGGGGGCTGCTTCGAGGCCCGTCCGGAGGGTCCCAAAGCTCCAGATCCCGGGGGTCCGGTTTTAGGGGGGGGGATGGGTTTTCCCCCCGCCCGGGCTTATAAAAATATAGGAAGAGGAAGATATGTGTGTGTATATATATATGTATCCGCTGCTCCTGGCCAGGCCCATCTTGGGCCCGGGAGCGGCGTATCTGCCTCCCCAGCCAAGCCTGGAGGGCGTGCACACCGCTCCTGGGCCCAGGATGGGCCTGGCCAGGAGCAGCGGACATGTAATGCGGGATGACGATTAATAAGAACTATGGGAGAGAACGATTAAAAACATAGTTTCTGCTATTTCTGCACAATTTTCTGACTGGAGGAGAACGATTAAAAAATAGTTGTCCATACCCCGCGGCCGGTTTTTTCTAATCGTCATCCCGGGCGCCGCCGCGTGAACACGACCCCTGGTCATTCATGAACCGTCATCCTCCATTATAGATCCCGTCGCCCTACCCCCCGACGTGCGATCGCTACCGTTGCCCGAGGGGGTCGGGGCCTGGCGAGGACCGCTGCTTCAGAGCATCTACGAAAAAAACAAAAAAACAATCTCTCGTCGCATCGGACGAGTTCGCCTTCTTTCAGGCCCCAGGGCCCTCACGTATCGTGCCGAGCATCCGTTTCGCGGCGCGGGGCCTCAGAGTACCTGCAGCTCAGTATTATACACTTGTGGTCTGCAGCCTGGGGGGAGGGAGCCCGTAGCCCAGGGGAGGGGCGCCTCGGTCTGGCGGGCGCCAGGACGTGCCCCACGGGTCCAGAGGATTGGAGGGACTCCGCGTAAACAGCGCTTCTCTGCACTGATGATGGGCTTGTTTCCACCACCACCATTATCATCAGCTGGAGGGGGATGGGGTCCTCCTCCTCGTCCTCCTCCTCCTGCTCCCCCTCCTCCTCGTCGTCCTCCTCCTCCTCTTCGTCCTCCTCCTCCACCTCGTCCTCCTTATGGCGGTGGTGGTGGAAAACGGGCCCATCAACCGACGTGCGCGTGACCCTCGAGGCACGCACAGGGGAGGGAACCGGGCGCTCGCCTGTAGTGCCGTACCATCCAGAGCGCTGTGCGCCCCGAGGTAGCAGCAGCCCGGAGGTGCGCCGGTCGAGTGCTGAAACGGCTCGCGGCGGGCTGCCGCACCCTGCACCGTGCGCCCCTCTTCTCGGCTGCACGCAAGGAGGGGCCCGGGGCAAGGGTTGGGTCGGGCATGTCCACCTGCATGCGGAGCTTGGAGGAAACATCCACAGAGTCAAGAAATGCAGGTCAAGAAATAATGTCCAGAAATGCGTAGCAGTAGCCCCAAAGTAATCAAACAATCGTCCCCAGACTTTCTGTTCAACTATTCTTGAATACTCCTCTGGTGGAGGGGCAGGCCCGACTGACGGCATGGGTAGACTTTGGAGCGCAGCTTGCCGACCTCTGCGTGCGACGCAACAGCAGCGGCCTGCGCGCCGACAGGCTCTGCCACGCCGCGCGCCCCCCCGCCCCCCCCCCGGACAGCCGCGCACCCGTGGCCACGCAGGCGAAAGGCCCTTCTATACGACTGGCTGTCGGGTCATAATGGGTCCCGAAACGATCCGAGAACTTTTGAGCAGGGACCGAC